CTGATCAAGGAAAATCTTTTCATGAGTCGCTTAACCGTTGAAATTTTTGAAGAGGTTTGGTATAAAAATTTCCAGAAGTTCGGTTTACCACCCCCAGAGCAATCCTGTAGAACGGTTCCATAGGTCAATAAAAAGGGTCTTAAAGGTATTATGTATTGAAGCTGCCCCAAATTGGGAAGTACAATTACCTGCCGCTCTCTTTGCTCTGCGGACAGTAACGCATGATAGTACAGGATTTAGTCCAGCTGAATTAGTGTACGGGACCAACCTCAGAACACCTGTCGCATTATTGTATGAGAAATGGTTAGATCCTCAGGAAAAAGAAGATACCGTAATAGAATATGTTTTCGAATTAATCAATAGGTTAAAGAAAAGTAGAGAATTAGCTACAGAGAAAATGGAAGAGGTGAGAGACAAAAGGAAGAAATGGTATGACAAAAATGCCGTGAAAAGGGAATTCCAGCAAGGAGATTCTGTATTAGTATTAGCAGTGAACCAACCCCATAAACTCGCTCCTCAATGGAAAGGGCCGGGAAAAATAGAGAAAAGATTATCAGAAACAAACTATGTGGTTAGTTTTGAAGGGAATCAGGAAGGGAATAAAGTGTATCACATCAATATGTTAAAACCTTATCATAAGAGACCTGAACTTTTGAATATGGTGCTCCTTGACAACGAGGAGATAGTTGAACCCTCGGAATTAGAGGAGGATTTTCCTTATATGTTAACCGACCCCAATGTGTTTGATTTTAATGAAATAATAGCAAAAGATAATCTTAAAGAAAGACTTAGTGATGAACAAATCCTGCAGTTGGGAAAGTTGTTGGTAAAGTTTTCTGCTATATTTTCGAATATTCCAGGGAAAACAAATTTAGTCGAACATGATATCGAACTAATCAGTGACAAACGCGTACAGCATAAGCCTTATAGAATGACAAATCGACAGAACGAAATTCTTAAAGTCGAGATTGAAAAAATGTTAAAATACAAGATTATTGAACCAGGACCCTCTGAGTATACTTCACCCATGATCCTTGTTGAAGCACCAGGTAGGGATCCTAGGCCGTGTATTGATTACAGAAAGTTAAACGAAATAACGCGTACTGAGTTCTATCCGATCCCCAAATATAGAGCAACGTGTTGAAACTGTTGCAGCAGCCAAATTTATCACCTTGATAGATTTAACTAAAGGTTATTGGCAAATTCCGCTGACCCCTAGAGCGCAGAAAATTGCTACATTTGCTACAAATTTTGGCGTATATAGGCCTTTGCGCATGCCATTTGGGCTTAAAAATGCTCCTTATTATTTTAGTAAAATGATGAGCGAAATATGCTACCCTTATTAGATGATACTGCTATTTTTTCTGTGGGAGGACCATTTACAACATTTACATGAAATTTTAGAAAGAATAAGAAAAGCCAATTTAACTATTAAACCCTCTAAGTGCAAGTTTGCACAAGAAGAAGTGCAATATCTCGGTCACATAGTAGGTCGAGGAAAACGTTCTCCAGCAGAACTAAAAATCGAAGCGGTTCAAAATTTTCCTGTTCCCACAACTAAAACTGAGATTAGAGCTTTCTTAGGGTTAGCTGGATACTACAGACAATATATACCTATGTTTTCTGCTATAGCCGCACCTTTGACAGATTTGTTAAAAGGGAATAACAAAAGGGGTAAAATTGTTTGGAATGATGAATGTAATGAATCATTCAAATCGTTAAAAGAAAAGCTATCTAGTAGGCCTGTGCTACATGCACCCGATTTTTCTAAACCATTTATACTACAGACAGACGCATCAGATCAAGGATATGGTGTTGTTTTAGCCCAGAAGGATGATAAAGGGAAAGAACATCCCATATTGTATCTCAGTAAAAAATTTACTGATAGTGAGCGGAAGTATTCCACCACTGAAAAAGAGTGTGCCGCAATTCTGTATGGAATAAAAAAATTGAAAGGGTATATAGATGGGCAGACTAAATTTTCAATTCAAACGGACCATAATCCCCTAGTATGGCTAAAAAATAATGCAGGTAGAAATGGTCGATTATTACGCTGGGCCTTAGCCTTGCAATCTTATAATTTTACGATACATCATAAAAAGGGAAGTGACAACTTAAATGTAGACTGCTTAAGTAGAAACTCTGTACATGCCAGTTAAATAGACTAGTTATCATTTCTTTTTTAATTGTCTTGTTATTTGATTATGTATATTGTATTTTTTTTTTAATTCATACTATATAGTAAATTGTTAGCTTTATTCTTAAAGACAAAATTTTTGTTTGGTTTTTCATATATTGTATATGTATTTTTAAATGTGTTTTTTTATGATGGCCTGGTTATGAGAGTGGAGAGCCTTTGTAACAGTGTGGTTTAAAATTAACTGGTAAAATGTTGAACAATCTCTACTGAAACCAGAAACTGTGAACTGTGAAGGTTTTCTTCTCCTGTGTCCGGAGAAACAAAAACTGGAGGCGGAAGGTGTTTGTTTGTAGCGAACGCCTGCCTGAACTTGTATTTTTTCCTTAAAATCCCGTAGGAAAAAAAAAGTTTTGTTTCCTCTGTGTCCGAGGAAAACAAAATCTGGAGGCGGAAGGAGTTAGTCTGTAAAGAACGCTCCTGAACTCTACTAGAAAGACCTATGATGCTCTTGACTAGAGAGAACGTCGTTAGCAAACTCCTCACACTACGAGTACTATAATTCATTTTAACACCTTATTTAAAGAACTGTGAATGGCAACGACTTAACTGAGTAATACGCATGCGTAAAGAGATGAGATTTCTGTGAGACGCCTGTCAGAGAGAGTTTGGGAAGCTCCGCCAGCGAGCTGAGGTGTGGAGACTAAATTTGTCCAGTGATGACGAGTGCTATCTTCGTTAACGTCTCTGATCGTGTCACCAGCTCGGATATCTACTCAAGTTTTCTAAATGTATTAATTAAATGTTGTATCTGTGGTATGTGCTGTAATTAAAGTGATGCATCACCAATACCAGTGTTGATTCCGTTCCCACTGAAGCATCCACGACTCACAATGGTCACCCGTTATATAGATTGAGAGCAGAAAAAATTGCTGGGTTTGTTTTTCAGATTGCTGGGTTACCGATTACTCGAATCAAAGGTTTTTCTGTACTATTGCGGAGATCATTCAGTTTAATCGTATTAAAATCCCTGCCAGTTATAATTTTAAGAAACTAAAAACTGAAAACATTGTAAGATCTAGTACGCTTACCTATCATAAAATGTACGTAGACCTACTTAAGTGTTGATCCTTGCGAATTCTCGCACAGACTTGAAGATGAACGTAACCAGGGGTGGGTGGAAAAGGCCCTTTCAATGAGCACAAAACGGACTTACGTACTTACACAAAATACGGTACTTTTCCTTTTCGTCGGCGCAAATCTCGCCAAGCAGACGTTTTTGGCGACAACACACAGTATACACATAAAAAATGTAGACAAATGTTAGTTCTAAGAATTTTTTATTTTGAAGGTATAAACATTTTAATGTCGTTTAATTTTTTTTTTTAAAAAGGCCAATAAATAAAGACAATCAATTTGTAAAAAGACATTAATTTAAGAATTTACTATGCTTTCATGGTACAACATCATGAATCGCCGGTTCATATCACGTAACCTCCAAGTGATCTCATCTCACGTAAACTCCGCTACAAAAATCTAATTCTTTCAGTAATTACCTACATTAATTTCAAGTTAAATCTTAATTTGGAATACAAATTTAAATGCAAGAATTATTTCAATTCGTACAAATAGCTTACTCAGAAATTATGTAAAACAGCAGTGCTTTACTTTGCTAGTGTATGCTCATTATAATTGATGAATTTCACCCTTCACTTTGCCTTTCTATACTTTCGCCTTCGGGTGAGCGGTGTGATTGCAGCCTAATTGACTGAATTACCGTCCGCGAAAGGCCTTAGGGCATAAAATTGAAATATCTGGTAAAACTTCTATGTAATTGTATGCCAGTATTGAAAGAAAGAATCAATCTGATAAGAAATGGCTGCTACTTGTTTTGAAAATGAGAAGTGAAAGGTTACCAGGGAGGATATTCCGTTTGGCATTAGTTGTACCGTTATTGGCGACTTTATCACCTACGCCGGCAAAATGGAAAAGTACCCCAAATACCTACCACTTGCAGTGAAAACTTAAAAAATAATGTAACATCAAATTTAAAGGTAAAGAGTAGTACGAGGCTACTCAATTCAACTTAAACTAGCAGGTTGACTCAGAAACCTACACCAACAAGATACTAAATCGACGGTAAGAATGCGTAACCGCTATTAAGATTAACAGATGGTAGAAAGTAACAAACGTGTGCTCACAATAGCGAAATCACCCTCTGTCTGACTTTCCGCTCCATCAGTTTAAATACTCTTGTTCACCCTACTTCATTTACATCATGGCGAAGAAATGCGAGGGGAAAAAAGAATATTCAGGGAAGGCTTGCAAAATAAAATAACTATTAATAAAAAATAAACAGAACCCCACAAAGTATGCTCTTCCTATCCGTATAAAAAATTATTTAGCATATCGTACACAGGTTTAAATTTTATGTAACATGGGCACTTTTCTCTTGAGTATAGTGCAAGAAAAACAAAACTTATTTATTCATATTGATAAATAATTACGTTAATAAAAGTGTAAAATTCCTAATACTTTAAATTTTTTTTGATCGAAATATTAAACAACAATTTAATATTAGATTGAAGAGTTTTACATTCTTCTAAAACCAAATAAAACATTTTCAGTTCTTGCTTTTAGAATATCTAAAAATTAAAAAGCAACGAAATTTAAAGAAATAAGGGTAAATTAAGAAAAAAAAAACAGTTTTACCTGGAAAGAGGACTCTGACATTTTAAATTGATTACTTATCACCAAAAATGCTGAGAAGAAATTTTAGAAGTCAAAAAAATATAAATCATGCTTTTAATTGTTATATGAATTAGATATTTTATTCAGACTAAGTTTCATTATCTTATTCCAGCTCCGTGAATTACGAAACAAAATGAAAGAGCTTAAAATCGATGATGATGATGTGACGAAAGAGAATCTGGAACAGTTGAAAAAGCAGGTCGGCGAGACATTGAGAAAAATTCTTGAAAAAATGGGTATTTTGGACAAAAGATCTCTAGATGATCCAATGGATGCAGTGTTTGGAGAATTAAATCTCAGAGCACTCTTCATTAAACTGAAAAACATGGTAATGTTTATTTTGGTGCGCGTGCCAAAATTCAGTTTTATATCGAAGTTATAAGAATTATATTGAAACAAGTATGATATCCAAATAAGTTCCAAAAAGATATTTCAGTAGTCCAATTAAAACTTCCTACTAAATAAGATGAAAAATTATTAGCCCGAACGGCCTTAGCCCAGGAGGGTTATTAATTTCGTTTTGGCAATTTGCATTGAAATGTCGGTTCCCTTTTCAAACTGTTGCCACCAAATATTACAGCCCTCTATTATATTTTTCTTCAAATACAATGCAGGACTCTAACATTTAGTGGCAACAGCTGGAAAAGTGAAAAGGACATTTAAAAAGATTCAACGCAAAATCGCAAAATGAAAACAATAGCCCTTCAGGGACAAAGCCCCTTTGGACTTAAAAAAAAGGGGGGGACAGTTTTATATCGCCCGTTCTACTGGGCCGATTGACGAAATTTAAATTGTCTTTTCGATGTCTCGAAAGGGCGATTTCGGATATATATTAGATCTATAGGTAGCCTTGAACTAACATAAACATTTTGATACAAAATCGAACTTTTTCTGAAATAAGATACCAATTTTTTCCATATTTCGATTCTACGACTGAAATTATGCCTAGATATTAAATTTTGTAATTCCTGGTGATCGATTTATGGAGAAATTTAAAAATTTATCTCGGGGAATATTTTTCGGTTAGCGCCAAGAATGAACTTGGTGAACTTCTTAATTTATGGCAACCTATTTTCCTTTCCTTTCCTTTTCCTTCATTGTTCAGGAGCAGAAAACAAAGCCTCGTTTATACTTTCAAATAATTTTAACAAAGTGTTTAAACCATATTTTCATTATTATCGCTTATAATAAATACGCCAAATTTCAAAATGCGCCAAAATGTAAATTCACGTATATCTTACGAAATTTCGAATAAAAAACTCTACTTTTTTGCAGGTGTGCTTAGAAATACATCTATTTTAAGATGATGGTAAATTTTTTTTAGTTTATGATCAAAATTCTTTTGGAAAAATTTATAGAAATTATTTAAAAATACAAATTTTGAAAGTAAATCATAAAAACTGAGAAATCATAAAAAAAAATCATAAAACTGTAAATCATAAATCTTTATTTGGAATGAACCTAAATTTCGAGGTGTGAAAAGAAGAATCAAATAAGTTTAATACAAAAAGCGATATTAATAAATAGAAATAAAATTCAATTAACATGGAGGAGCTAAAATTTTGGGAGCTAATTCTTTAAAAACTACGCGTGCGATTTTTACAAAACTTGGTAGATTGGCATAATTTGAGTTGTAGAATTTAAATATGGAAAAACATTGGCATGTCATATCAGAGAAAGTCCGACTTTGTGTCAAAATACCTATATTAGAATAATGCTATATATAAATCTAATACGCATCCCAAGTCGCGCTTTCGATCCATCAAAAACGCGAGTTGAATTTCGTCAATCAGTCCAGTAGAACAGGAGATATAGATCTGTCCCTCCTTTTTAGTCCAAAAAGACTTTGTTCCTGAAGGACTATTGTTTTCGTTTTGCGATTTTGCGTTAAGAACTTTAAAGGGCTGTATCACTTTTCAAACCGTTTCCACCAAATACTGTCGCCCTTTACTATATTTGAAGAAATTAAATAATGAAGAAACTGCATAAACGTATGTATGTTTCTCGAATTTTGATAAAACAACGGTACCTAGAGCCATCCAATTTTGAATGACGTAATCCTACTGCGAATATGGGCATCTGAAAGTCAAAATTTGAAATTTGTTTTATTATCTATTTCATGTTTTGTAAACGTTTTGTAAAACGAATTTTTGATTAACAAACTCAATGCTTTCAAATAGAGCAATGACAACACTCTATGGAAGAACAAAAAACAAAAAACATTTTATCTCTAGCATGCGAGACCATCGGAAATTCTAATGATATGCTCATTTTAAAATTATTTTGCGATATTTCTGTTGAACTGATTTTATGGTTTAAGTGCGAAGAACATATTTAATAAATACAGTGGAACCTCTAGATACGAGTTTAAACCTCGAAATCGGAACCTCAAGATACGAGATACATCAGCATTAAGCTCGTATATCGAATTTCTCGTATCTAGAAACAAACTTCCCCATTGAAAATAATGGAAATCGAGTTAATCCGTTCCGCACCCCCAAAAATATCAACATCAAAATCAATTTTTCGAATAAATAACACTGGTAAATAATATAACGGTAATTTACCTTTATGATAGCAACCCATCAGCGGCCGAGCGGTAAAGTCGCTGAACACTGGTAGTTCGGTCCGAGGTAAACGTTAGTAAAACTTAAGATCCTTACATACTTCCCGCCAGAGTTAATTAGTTTGAAACTGAGGTCTAAAACGACCTTGTTGAAAACTTTTAGCTCTAGAATCTAACGCGAGGCCAATCTTTTACAAATATTTTTCGCTAGAAACTAGAAAATTTAAAAGAAAGAAATTTGTTTTTACAATAGCAGCCTCCCAGGATACACCTTTTTTTTTTTCATCTGTACTGCATCTAAACAGGAGCTTTTATTCAAATCTGGTTCCTTCCAGAGATCTGGAAGGAAAACTAGTTTAATGAAATGTTAATGAAATGGCAAGTAACATGTATAATTATATTTCTCTTAACATTCTTATTTCATTCATGACTATTTTAATTATCTCTCCCCGTGCTCTCTGACATGTGTTGTAAAAGAACACCAAACACGAATGTGTTTCTGTCTACGTGTTCAACACTTCCTCCTACAATCAAAACACTAACGTGTTAAAATTCAACATACGAGACCTCGTAACACACCCTAATTTCAACTCTAAACCCTGAGGTACTATTCTGAAAGTGGCTAACTCTAAAGTGTAGCGTCAGAGAGCCTAACTACATCATTCAACCTTTAACACATATTCACCATGATTTAGTCTTTTACAGTCACACGAATAACAAATTTTTTAACATTACTTTCACTTTTACCATATCACGGTATTTCTTAACATTTAAAATAACAGTTCACATGTATAAACAAGAACATATCAACATGCCGTTAATTTTACACATTTGAAAACATACATTAGTAGTACATTGTTAACTTCTATTCTTTTCAAAGCAAGTGCCAATTCTTTCTACATTGAAATAATACTACATTTCAAAAAGTCTTTCAGACTAAAACTTCTTTCTTGCTAGAATGTTTTAAATAAAATTTATACAATAACTTTTTACAATATTTAAGTCTTTACACAACGCTATTATACATCAACTTTAGTTTTACGCGCGAGTAATTGAAAAACATAATAAGAAAATCGGTCACAACTCATTTCTCGCCCTTTTGGCGATAAAGGTAGACCTCGCATGAGGTAAAACTTCTTGAAATCTGCCACTTGCAGTAAGAATGAAAGATTAACTTAAGTTTGCAAAGTAAACAAAATTTTTACTTATCTTTGTGATATTCGGACATCCTTTTCTGGGCCCAGTCTTTAAAGGTGCTGCAGACAGTTAAGTTTGGTTTATCCTCCTTCTTGTACGGGCTCGCCCTTCAGTGCCTTCCTCTGGAAGCTTTTTTCCGTTTTTCACCAGTTCGGTCACCCTTGAACATCTTCCTTTCTCCTCTGCTTGTGGTCTTGGCCGTTTGATGGCAGCTGGTCTTGGCGGAACCGGGAAACTTCTTCGTGTTCCTGCTTGGACCTCGTTGCTGGCCGTTCAAATTTTTCTTGTAACTTTTTCCTCCGCCGCTGATGGCCCTTCCGCAGTTCGGCGACATTTGCTGCGGAGAGTCCTGTCGGATGAGTCAGATCTTCCGTTTTGGAGCCGGGTTATAGTTGCCGTCATTTCTCCTGGTCTTTCCACATACGTCGTCCTTCTCCCTTCTTCATTCTGGGGGTGTGTTCGTGAACTCTCTTTTCTGGACGGTGGAACGGCTTCTTTTTTCTTTGTACCTTCAATTTTTCCGCGGGGCAATTTTCTTTTCAACTTGCTTCTGTCTCTCATTGGCTTGCCCTTGTACTTGTCGTTTTCCCACCTCTGGAACTTGTGCCTGCGGTGTCTGCCGTGCCGGATCCTGCAAAAGATCTGAAAGATTTGCATTTTATTACGATTCATAGAAGTAGGGTTTAATTTGGATCAATGTTTGCGGACAGGTTTCACCATTTCTGGCCTTTAACACTACAACAGCGTGAGTTATTTTTTCTTTTTTCTATAACATATGGTCCTTCAAATCGTGGGAAAAAATTTGGCAGTTTTATCTTCTGGTGCTGAAGAAAGTGAATGCTTAATTTTTAAAACTTCATCCCCTACTTTATAAGTTACTCCCCGTCGTTTCAAGTCATAATAAGCTTTTGTTTTCTTTCTTTGTGCTACTTCAGTATTCTTTTTTTTGCTTCTTTTAATTAGTTTTTCTATATCACCCATTTTAAATTCTGGGGCTCTTTGTTGCACATAAATAATTTATCTAACGGCGTTATAATCTTTCTGCCTAAAAAATAACTCAGCAGGAGTTTTTTTGCCCGTTGTATCATGTTTTGCGGTCCTAAGGGCGAAAGCAAATTCATTGACATAGTTATCCCAGCTTTTATGAAAATTTTTTAACATAACTACGGATAATTTTCACTATATTTCTATTGACCCGTTCCGCTATATTTGATTGCGGCCGATACGGGACCATTTTTAAATGACGTATGCCCAGTTTTTGGCACATGTCTTCAAATATATTACTTACAAATTGAGGACCATTATCCGATATAACTTTTAGGGGCGCCCCGTATTTTAAAATATATTTATTTAAAATAGAATCAGTAACTAATTTCGCGGAGGCTCGTTTTAAGGGAACAATTTCGGTCCATTTACTAAAATGATCAACCATAACAAGGAGATAGCGACTTTTATTTAACTGACTTTTTGGGAAAGGGCCCAATAAATCGATGCCAATTATTTCATTTGGAAATTCGGATTTAATACTATTTAGAAACCCGGCCGGGCGGAAATTAATATAATTA